ACGCGCGCACACATGCATTTAGGATGACTTTTCCTAGCCGTTTGTGTAGCCCCGTCAGCAATCCTCTTTTGGGGCAAGACGCGTGCGTAGGTCAGCAGCAACCTCATGCACAAATATCAGGCCCCTCTGAGTTAAAGGGTTTATTGTTAGTCCTAGTGACGGTCTTAATAACTATGCGAGAGAGAGAGAGAGACCCTCCGCTGTCCATTTCCTCCCCCGCCCTTCTCTGCCCGTCTGCCTGCTAGGGGGGCTCGGACACGAAGCGAAGGCTTGTGGGTAACGAGGAGGCCATCGCGGCTGCGGCGGCGGCGGCAGCAATAGAAATAATTCTCTAAGGCGGGAGCGAGAAAGGAAGGGAGGGAGATGGGGAAGTCGCCTCAGTCACCCGCGCTGCTGGAGGGGCAGTAGCTTGTGGGGCAGCACTCTTCAGTGACAGCAGCGGCACAGGAACAGAGAGGGAGGAAACGCAGCGAGGCGGGCTGTGCCTCTCCCGCCTCGCTGCAAGAGAGCGAAGGAAGAGGAGGAGGGAAGAAGCCCGCCGGGCTCCTCCGCCGCTGGCTTCCCCCTTTCGACTTCTCCCCGTCGGGGGTATTGACCTGGTAGTGCAAAATGGCCGGGGACCCGATGGTGCCTCATTTTTCCGCCTAGTCGGTGCAGAGGAGGGGGAGTGAAGAAGGCAGCGGGCGCTTCCCGCGGGAATCTGCCCTTTTCGCCTCCCTGCAGCCGCCCACCTTCGGTCTCTCCGGGCTGTTCATGCCTGCGAAGTGGGGGCTGCAACTGGGCGGGCGGAGCGGCGGCGGCGGCGGCGGCAGTGCCCGCCCCAGTCGTGCGAGGAGGAGGAGGAGGGCGGCCGCTTGCGCCCCTCTCGCTGCTCCTCCTGAGGCAGGCCTGGCCGGGCCAGGCCAGGACTGAACAAGCCCGTTTCCCCGGCCGGCGGACCGCTCTGCTTTTCTCCAGCCAAAATTCAATAGGCCCCGGAGCGGATACCGGCGCTGGCGACGGAAGGCGCCGCTCGCGTGTTGGTGCTGCCGCTGCCGCCCTCTCCTCCCGCCAGACAGCCATCGGAGGGTTCGCCTTGGCGCTCGAGAAGGGGGAAGAAAAAGAAGCTGGCCGGGGAGACCCGCCGAGAGTGGGAGAATGAACCATCAGCAGCAGCAGGCGGTGAAAATGTCTGCTTGCCCGCCGCCGGAATCTGGGGAAGGGCTCGCGACGGGGCGCCAGAGGAAGCTGGAGTCCATGATCCGGGATCCCCGGTCTCCGGTCAATGTGGAAAGTTTGCTGGTGAGTTCAGCTGCTGCTGCTGCTGATTGGGCCGGGGCTGGGTGGCGGAGACGTGATGGGGTGGGAGACTTGCGGGAGAAGGAGGTCTGAGCTATGGAGGGGAGGAAGGAATTATCTGGCTTGGGAGAGGTTTCGGGGTGGCGTGGAGGGCTCCGCTCCCGCGTTTTCAGTCAGTGCGGAAAAAGGAGGGAACCGCCGGACGCCTTGGATGGGGCTGAGAAGAGGGGAGCTTTTGCTCCCGCTTTCTCCCGCTTTTGCTTTGAACGCGTACTTCAACATGGATGGGGTTGGAGAGTTTTCTGTCGGGATCGCTTGAAAAAAGGGTGTGTATGCGTGCATGTTTTAACTTCAAACCCCATGTTGTGTTCTCTCCTCCGCCAACTGGAAAACTCTCGATAGTGGGAGGTTTGGGATTGAGATACTTGATTTAGATGGGTGATGCAGTAATACTGAACACTTTTCCCCTTTAAGGAGTATGTTTAGAGGAGTAAAGAGAGAAGGTGAAGGCAGTTATGTTCAAGCTGGACCTGTTGAAAAATTACTGCCCACGAAAGTTACCAGGAGGACTGGTGGGAAGTAAAGAAGAGGGAGCAAATGCGGGTTCTGGGAATGGTAAAAGGGAGGACTGTATGTATTGTAAGACAGATGTTAGTTTATAGTATGACTGCGTGACAGTGAATCATTTCTGAATATTTTTATTTGCGGGTACAGCCCCAATGGAACAGTGAGTTGTAGCTTTTACTTGAATCCTAAACTCATTCATCCTGGAAATTTCATTGAATTATTCAGAAATACTTCGGTTTAAATCTGATTGTATTGAAATGTTACTCCATGTCAGTAACTTTTCAGTGTCATCTTTGATCTTTTGTCTTTGATTTCCCAGTGAACTTGGTTTCTGTTAATGCAAAACTAGTGTTGATTTTCCACTTGCAAGCATTCACTGGAAATGCTTAGAAATGACAGACATACTTAGGGAAGGAATCTTTGGGAGGCAGCAGTTTAGCAGAAATGATTAACTTTATTAGCTACACTAATACGAGCAGACACTTTTCTTTTTAAAGGTCTGTATATACAAAGAACCTTTCCTTCCCTTTAGAAACTTATTAAGGGAGAAAGATAGATCTGAAGGTTTTCCATTTCTAAAAATGAGATTGTGAAAGGTACAATCAGCATGCTGTCTGGATAGGAAAATAGCTTTTGGGACAGCAGAGACCTCATGCCTACTCTTGGAGAAAGAGGAATGGGATTTTTGTTTCTGTTCCAAGAGTTTCTCCCTGCAGGCATTTGGAAGTGGAGGGGGTAGGGAGAAAGAAGCAGCTGGAGTCATTTGCAAAAATGACTCAGTCCTTTGGCCTAAGTACAGGAACTGACTAAATAGTGTGTCTGTGTGTCTGTGTGCTGGAGGCTAGAGATCTCTACTTGTTACAGACACTCCAGGGTGTAATGATGACATGCATGACACTTGATGAGAGGATAGCAGAATATTTCAGGGGTTATATGGGTTAAACTTGCATTCTTCAAAAAGAGCTCAGTCTCCAGTATTCAGTACCAGTATAATGATGATCATCTTCATCTAGTGAGCCCCATGGCCAAATACCTGCTATTGATAAGGTGTGGAAAATTTGTAACCCACAGAACTCTCAGCTCTTGTTATCTCTGGCCATTGGCCATGCAAAGTAGGGCTGCTGGTAGTTAGTGTCCAGAAACAACTAGAGACCTTCACATTCCCTGTCTCTGCATACTGAAATACTGAATAAATACTTAATTCACATATATACTTAATTTGGGGTCAGCTCACCCCCCCCAGGCCGCCCCCCCCAATGTGTTTAATTGTAGTGTGATTGAGTGGATTATATACAGTGGCTATAGTATCAGTTAAAAAGAAGTCATTTCAGTAAGAGAAAATTAAACTGATACTTGAAACAACTTGTTTCTGCTTATTATTACAGTACATTTATGTCCTATCATTGTACTCTTTGCAAGCAATCTAAGATAGCTTACAAGGATTTCCTCCTCTCCTTGCATTCTCACAACAACCCTGTGAGGTTGGTTCAGTTTGAGAGTCTGTGGCTGGTCCAGAATCACTCAGCAAGCTTCATGGCTGAGTGAAAACCAGAACTTGGGTTTCCCAAATCCTAGTCCATCATTCTAACCACTGCAGTATTTTGGCTCCTGCATATGGTTGCTTTCAACAAGATCATTATAATATACTGAGAAGCAGTGAGTAATGCACCCTTCCATAGTATCTGGTTTTGTTGCAGACAGTATGATATATTATTTGTGCAATAAAATATTTTGCAGTTCGTAGTGTCTTAGATTTTAGATTGAGTTCCTGAATTGTCCAGTACTTGGAGTTGACTCCAACACTGTCTTTCTGCTGATGGAAGCAGTTCTGTTGGTATGACCAAGCAGGGGAGTCCCACACACCAGCAACATCTGCTTTGGAAGGCTGGGACACCTCACTTGAGCAAATAATTTATTGGTACAGAGGGGAGGAGAGAGGGATATGGTCATGTTACTCCAGTAGACATCACTTTAAACTGGATATGAGAAGTTCAATATTAGCTCCATTGGTTTCATGGAGACTTTGAGGAGGTTCATTAGGATTGTAGTCTTGCACACAAAATTTAAGTGAACCTCTTTGTGTTGAATGTATCTTCAATATGCATCTTAAACATGAAGAGTAGAAATTGTGCAACAGATTAGTTATATTTTTTAAAAAGGTTGGATCTCCATTGGTGGGGCAGTGAGAGAAACACTGTCTCTGTCAAAAACAGGAACTGCCAAATTATATTTGAAGTAAGACTTATAGCAGTTAAGTCTTTCAACTGCATTTTATTTTTGTGTGTATTAATAGGATGTAGTTAGGAGAGTTAAGCTGCAAGACTCTTGTAGGTAAGTCAAAATATTGCTCAACAAGGGCCCCTTTTACTTATTAGTAAACTTATGTTGTGCTTTGCTGCATTTCTGTAAGATCTTGATTGATTTTTTTTTTTTTGTTTTACTTAAGTAATGGGGGTTGTACAATTTATTTCAGGCTTGGATTTTAAATTTTATCTTGGTTGTCACTTCTGAAATCCTTTAGTGGATTACAGGTATTTAATTTCCACTAAAATCAATGGAACTTCTCTGTGCCTTGTTTGAAGAGGAATGCAGCCCACATTGTTAGGTTTATTAATTGACATTCTGAATAGTGATTCAAACATCAGTATAGACAAAGAACCATGGTTTGTTGATTGATTAAAAAGCAAAAGAAAAACTGTCAATTGCCTGATTCAGTAACAAATATGTAAAGCATAAATGTATGAGAACAATACATTTCACAACAATTTACTAATTGTAGAAAAGTTAATTAGCTGTCATGATGAAACAATGAAATTTCTGTACAGGTGTATTTACTTGTGCCTAATAGTATTCAGACACATATTGACTAGCACATAGAGTTATTACTTACATTCTGTTCTACTTTCCAGCTGGGTTCCCAGAGTAGTTAGTTCTTCTTGGTTTTTATCCAATACTGCCCCAAAATGACAAACTTGTTTAAAGTTAAGTACACTCATAGCTCTAAAAGAAGTTAGTTGCTAGAAAAATGTGGGTAATGGCTACAGTGTAGTGCAGTTTCCTCTAACCTGCTGCCTTCTTGATACTTTGGACTTAAGTTTCCATCAGCTCCAGTCAACAGTGGTTCAGGAATGCTAGAAATTGTCAAACATTTCAGGAGCCCAGGTTGGGGAAAGGTTGTGTTGTGTATTTGACTAAGACTCCTGAAATGAAAGCAAGTAAGCAGTCTTCACTCTTTTCTTAAATTCTTGTGATTTTGAAGAAAGTAGGTTGTTATTTAATCAGTGGTATTCTTGGCTTGAAGACTGCTTGACTGCAATCAGCTAATGACAGTTTATAATTTTACAAAGCTCCCTGTAAATGCAGAAATGGACAAGCTGAAGTTCACATTTCACTTTTGGGAAGAGCTTGTAAATGTGCGTGATAGCAGCACCAATAGTAGCAGTGTGAGCCATAAATGGCTTGGCATATTAATGCCACATCTTTCATTTGCAACTAAATCCAGTTTAGTTCTCATTAGTATGAAACAGCACTGAGTCAATGGGAAGTTATTTCAGGGAAAGAACTGGCCTTTCACTTAGTTTGCATGTCAGCATGTGCCACATACCTCGAACAATAAGGACAGAACTCTGACTTTTGACTTTTGCAATAGCCTTAACAGACATTGTATTATCAATTTCTGCACCTTTTCTAACAGGTTCCAGTTCTCAAAAGCTTATTTTTTGGTGAATGCATTTTTCTACAGAGCATAGTAAAAAAGTTGAAGCTATGTCATTGATGTGAAATTATTAAGATGCCTGCTTTTCTACTACTGTATATTTGAACTAACTTGATCTTAGCCAAATGGCTGAAAAACAATAACATCCTTTCTACAAAAAAGGTATGCAGATATTTTGAGCTATCAACCCCCAAACATATATTTTGTATATATAACATGTTTTAAAAGACAATATTTGAACAATTTCATGCAGTCTGCATTAGAACATCTGCATCAGTCCTAACACAATGCTTGTCCTTACCTAAGATTAACAGATAAAGAGAATACAGTGGGTCTGTGCACCACCCCCTCTGTATAACCACATATACAGATATAACCACATAACCTGTGGTTATGTCTGAACATCATTAATTATGGTTAAACAGAAAATGAGGGAAGGGGCATGCTAAAAACAGCATTTTAAATTGCTGTGGGTTACTCATGGTTAATACTTGGTAAATGTCAGGCCAAGATCTGGTGAAGTCAGGCAAGTGTAATTGTGTCAGCAAGGGTGAGACTTGAGGAAATGCATGGTCATGAATCCCATTTCCAGTCCCTTAAGAACCAGCATTATGTTATACCTACACTAGCCCTTAGACACTGTCAGAGAAACCTGTTAGAAAGGTGCTTTTCTCACATTCATGTTTTCTAATATTAATGTCATACATGTTAATTGTACTTA